AAAAAGTAATCTATATTTTCAAATATTATTATACCAAATTTTATTTGAATATTCTAAATTGTTAAAAAAATAAATCAATAGCATATTTATAGTACCAATACAGGCAAATTTGCCTGTATTAGTTTACAATTTAAGGGATAATATATATTTTGTAAATTGCTGCAATCATAGCAAGGTTTCTATCAGTAAAAAAATGATAGGTGACAAATTATTTGTTGCCTCTAGTGAACATTTTAAAATCTATTTATAGTCTGATTGAGTTTCATATTTTGTAGGTGCCTGAGCAACAATACGTGTTTTGAAATAGTTATCTACAACAGAACCCAGAGTAATCTATATATAGATAAGAATATAATTTGCTTATTTTTGACTATTTTTTGCAGATCTTTTCTATTTTAAGTAAGACACATGCTTATTTTTGAACATTTTTATACAGATCTTTCTATTTTTAATAATTTTTTAAAACTCTTACCTCTATATAGATTGCTCAGGATCTTTTCACAACTACAAATAGACTTAATGCCATTTCAAATCAGTTTGTTTTAGCTATGTTATCATGAATAATAACATCTCGAAATCGAGACCAAAGTTTATATTTTTGTTTTTTCGTTATCCAGAATAATCCAGTAAGTTCATTTAATGGACCTTTCAATCAGGTAACAATAAATAAGTCTGGGTCTGCTTCATGTTCTTTAAAAAGTTTTTGTAAGAGTTTTGCCATATCATTTTTATCATGATTTTTAGATTGACAAAATTTTTGCATTGCATTATATAAATTTTTACGGCATATTTAAAATTTGGAAAACTTTTTAGTCAAAAGATTATACTGTTGTCCTGCTTCTAATTGTCCCACAACTGTATAATGTTCAATCTTATCAATTATTTCTTGAGATAACCTAAAATATTTGGATACAAAAGCAATGGCTTTTGGTCTACATTTATAAATATAAATATTATTGATTTTTGTAATATGAACCTGCTTGGATTTTTTTCTAAAATAAAATGAAACAATCCACTGACTATTTGTTTTAGTAGAATATTTATTATGATATACATTGATATCTTCTACCTTTTTAATGTGATTAACTTCTAATTTCCAATAATGATAGTCACAATACCGAATAATTGTTTTGTTAACTTGATCAAGATCTTTTCGATATTTATTAGCTACAAATCTATTTTGTTTTGTAAATATATTTACTGCAATTTGAACAGCCTTTTAGCTGGCAAAAATATCACCCTCTCGTAAAACAATTTCATTTTCATTATATTCTTTACTATTATCATCATCATAATTCAAACTATCCTCTAATTCTTGTAATTCAGTATCATCTTCTTGTAAAACAATTCTATTTTTATTATATTCTTGACTATCAGTATCATTAACGCTTAAGCTATTCTCTAATTCTTGTAATTCATATTGTTCAACTATGATCAATAAAAATATTTATAATCATTGTTAAGAAATAGTTTGTATTATACCAACTTTTGGCCAACTAACCTTGGATTTCTTCATTCACCTTATCATTTTGAGCTATTACATATAGCAAGAGAACTTGTTCTAATTTGTCTTGATTTTTCAAGTATGAATTTGGTGAATATTCATGATCTACAGAATATAATATGTATTTATTAAAACTTTGATAGAAGTTTGGATATGTGTGATTTTTAAAATATGGTATGTGTTCATTAAAACTTTGATCGTTTGAATATGCTTGAAGAACTAGATCTGGTATCTAACATTTTTATAAGAATACAAATAAGAATTGTAAAATGTAACAGACTTGTAATATGAAATATCAATAAAAAGATACAAATGAAAGACTGATTAAAATTATTAATAGGTTTATCTATCGTTATTAGTTTTTTTAGGTTATTTATTAGCCTAATAATGCTATAACAAATAGTTTTCCAAGATTACTTGAATAATTTATACTTAATAAAATACTTTAAATAGTTTAAATAGAAATTGTGACAAAGATGGTGTGAAAAATATAAAGAAGCCTGGTTAAGTTAAATAAGATATATAAAAAATACGAAAAATAGATGATAATAGCAAGCTCTTGGACGGTTGAAAACTCAATATTACTAAGTAATACATGTAATACTAAGTAATATATATAACTATATACTTTAAATTCAGTATTATATAGGACAAGATAGCTTCTTTGAATGCATCTATAAATATATTAAAAGATTAGAAATTAAATAAAAAAAAGAGAACAAAAAAAAGCATAAAAATTATTAAACTACTAACTGAATAGCCAGGATTGTAGGCTTTAAAAAAAAAAGTGAAATCGATTGTACAAGGTATGTTTGTATAACATATACTATTATGTATATATGTACATATGTATATATATGCATATGTATATACGTACTATATATCTGATAATACAATATGCAGTATAATATGTATATACAATATATTGAGAATTACATTTGTATAATACCTATAAATTATATCATGTAATACAAACTGGTATCGGCTACTAGTAGTAAAATATAGTAATTTTCATCATAAAAGTTAGTATGTATTATATAATATCTTTTTGACTTTATATCTTTAATGTTAGCTATTACCATTTAGAAAGTTATTAATACAAATTAATAAGCAGAAGATTTATAGACCTATTAATTAGAAGTTATATTATAGCGATTTTAAATAAAGATTTTCAATTACTAAAAAAAGTTTATTATTATTACAACTATTTTATTTATACAATGTATTTTGAGAACTAATATATATAATGCTATTTTTGCTATTTTTTATTTGTACTTTCATATGCAATTATTGAACTTGTAATCACTAACTATATGATACTAAAAAAAGGTTCTAAAAAATAATCATCTTTTCATTCCAATAATATAAGCCAGCATTCATAATTCATATTAAATTAGTATTGTTATAGAGATTTTAAAGATAATACAAAAATAATACTATAGCATTACCTTCAATACAATATTGATTTAACTCAAATTATAGATGCTGTTTAAATAATATCTAGCATTATATGTTTCCATAATATCAATATATTATCAGATCTTTGGTAATAAATTTATACTCTATGTTCGTTCTTTTTAATCTTGATCTATTTGTTATAATAAAAAAAAATACTATAAATTGAAAATGAAAAAAATAACAATAATGTATACAAATTTCAAGAAATAAATATTTAATTCAATTTTAATTCTAATAAGATAATAATATCTAATATTATATGTTCCTATAGCACTAATATATTAGCAGATCTTTAATAATAAATTTATACCCTATGTTTGTTCTTTTTAACCTTGATCTGTTTGTTGTAATAAAAAAAAAATTACTATAAATTGAGAATGAAAAAAAAATAATAATAATATATGCAAATTTTAAGAAATAATTATCTAATTCCAATTCCAATAAGATAATATTTTATATTATATATTCCTATAGTATCAATACATTAGCAGATCTTTGATAATAAATTTATGCTCTATGTTCATCTTTTTTAACTTTGATCTATTTGTTGTAATAAAAAAAATACTATAAATTAAGAATGAAAAAAAAATAATAATAATGTATATAAATTTCAAGAAATAATTACTTAATTCAACTCCAATTTTAATAAGATAATAATATCTAACATCATATATTTTTATACATCAACATATCAGCAAATCTTTGATAATAAATTTATGCCCTATATTCATTCTTTTTAACCCTGATCTATTTGTTGTAATAAAAAAAATTACTATAAATTAAGAATGAAAAAATAATAATAATGTATACAAATTTTTCTAACTATTTTATTTGATTCCAAGAAATAATTGTTTAATTCAATTCTAATTCCAATAAGATAATAAATAATATTTAATATTATATGTTCCCATAGTATTAACATATCGGCAAATCTTTGATAATAAATTTATAGGGTGTGGTGACTTAGTGAAGTGGTGAAGTTGTCGTACCCCCAAGCGGTTGAGTACAAGTTCAATTCCTACTGGAGACGAAAATTGAATTTCGAAAAACGGATTCGGTAACTA